TCGGAGAATTCAACTTAAATCATAACATGACTCGATATCCACTACACACGGCAAACATGACTCACGGCCAACATGAAAAATTTATTTGCATGACACTAATACATATACAACCAAGAGATATCCAGCAATATACCTCTTCAGCTGCTCCCTTGTCGAGTTAAACACGTGAAATACTCGCCGTGACCGTGTGTAGTCCTAACTTGCGTGCGGTGCGATAGGGTGCTTCTTGCCGTGCGTGCACTATGAAGGAACTAAGGTAATGCTCACCACTCTCACCAACTCTCTTACAAGTATTGAAAGACTATATATATATGGTTAGGAGGTGGGAAAAATCGGACCCCAACACCCCTTATATACTTGCACGAAAGATGGGATTTAGGAGGTGGTAAAGAGCTTGGTGTTTGCTTAATTTGCTTCCACTTGTCCATTAAAATGCTAACTCATCTATTAATCACATGAGTCATCACTAATGGCTTCATAATTGGACACCTCATGCTAACTAAAATGAGGTCATTACTCCAATTTTCCATACTTAGTGCTCACGGCATTAAGCTTAAATGGGAACAACTTTCGTACAGCTTTGTGCATTAATATGTGATTAATTACTAATTAATCATCTCATTATGTTTAATTATTAATTAAACATAATGCTTAATTACCAAAATTATTCCGAACGTAAACGGAACGTCAAAAATAATTTTCGGTAATCTTAACTAAAAATAATTAATTCCGAAAATTAATACTCGACAATATTAATATATCAGAACTAAAAACATGATTTATACTGATAAACTGACGGGATATTACAACATGTGTTCAGAAATCTTATGTGAAGGGTATAGTATGTGTGTGGTGCGAGTTATGGCAAAAATTTGGATAATCAATCAAGTACAAAGCAAACACAATAGCATAATCAACAAGGAGAATCGTTAAAGAGACATACAAGAACATCAAATCAGTTCATTCAAAAGATCGTCGACAACAAAGACGGCTTAAGCAAAACATTCATATTCCAATAGATAATTGTCAACAGTACATCCCTCAGATTCAAAAAAGAAAGTACAATAAAAGGAGCTAATCTAAGGAGGAGGGGTTGTAGTCAAGTCTGCGTTGCTCTAATTAGCGTTTGGCTCGGGCGGATGGCTGGTCCCGGAGGTCGAGTCGCAAGCTTCATTAAGTGGACGTTGGCGAATAGACTCAGTCAGCATGGCCAACATCGAGGCTGGAGGAGTTAGACCGTCGGGCAGAGCATAAGTTTTCTTTAAAATATCTAATCGAGCCAGAGTCCTTTCAAGTAGCCCCAACCACCACTCGTGCTCGGACGGTAGGCTAGGATCGCCCTGGAAGCTAGAAGGGACCTTGGGCAAGGCCTCCCAGATAGCCCCAGGGTCGAGCTGCTCGAAGTCGTCCTCGGCGATCTGCTCGCCGGCCTTCTAAAGGGCGAACTGAAAGCAGTCCACCCCAAAGTCTTGCACCTCCTTCAAAAATTGGGGTGACCGCATATAATCGGCCACCACTTGTTCACGGAACTTGCAGAGGGAAAGCTGCCCAGTTGTTGTGCCCCACATCATTTGTCGAGCTCGAAGAGCTGCAGTATCAGCATAGCGTTTGCATTTGCTGGCGTGGATAGCCCTTTCTTTGGCTAAGGTAGCCTCCAGCTCAGCTCGAGCAGCCTCTGTCTACACCCGGGCAGCCTCCGCCTGCGTTCGAGCAGCCTCTGACTGCACTCGAGCAGCCTCCGACTGCGCTCGAGCAGCCTCTGCTTGGGTTCGAGCAATCTGCTCTTGCTCGAGTGCAGTCTCCTTCTCCTTCAGCGCAGTTTCTTTTTCGGCCACCGCAATCTCCTTTACCGCGAGGGCGGCTTCTCTCTCCGCGAGAGCCTCATTCTTCTTTGTGAGCTCTTCATCAAGGGACTTAACCTTGACTTCAAACTCGACCTTCTGTTCTGTCTGTGTCTCGCGGAGTTTAGCATTGTGTTGCACAAGGGTCGAGTTTTTATCTTGCAGGTAGTCAATGGTGCCCTCGAGGCCCTTTATCGACTTACCCGAGCTGTCTCGGGCCTCCTTGGCCAAAGGAAAAAAATCGACCAAGCCCTATCAAAAAAACGATAAGATAATTCAATCTATGTATCGAAAAAAGAAAATGAGAGGGACCAAGGTA